TTAGAATTAGAACTTATGTATTGATCCCAGACTTCGTTACGTTCCAGCCCAGAACGGTCCACAGCTTCGCAACGCTCCACGGCCCAAGTTTACGAAAATGGAGTATAAAAATGCAGAGGAAAAAGTATTGGCAAAGAAGACAGGGTATCAAGATGTAGATGTCAAAGGAAAAGGCTCTTTAGCCTTCTTAATAAATTATAGATCCTTCGTTAACTGTATAAAATAGCTGAAATTGCAAAAAAAATCAGAATTCACGAGTCATTTTAAAAATGACAACTTTTTAGAAACTGTCCCTCTATAGTACCCCATCTTGTAGTAATAGAACAAGAGCAGAGCCTTCTTAATAAATTATAGATCCTTCGTTAACTGTATAAAATAGCTGAAATTGCAAAAAAAAATATCAGAATTCACGAGTCATTTTAAAAATGACAACTTTTTAGAAACTGTCCCTCTATAATACCCCATCTTGTAGTAATAGAACAAGAGCACAGGCAGGGCCGATCCTGATAATTTTGAAGTCCTAGGCGACTAATTAGTTTGAGGCCATTAAAAATAATTTTTCATTAGCGTAGCAATACTTATATATTAGTTTCTATTGCAACGATATTGATCTCTATACTATGGTCGATTTTGAAAACTTTGATCATTGTACCAAGGTTGGAAGAAATATCTATTTTCTATTGTTTTAATAAGTTTTACAGCTTCAATTTATCACTCTTGGGTTTTCAGGAATTTTAGAAATGTTATTTCAACCTTTTTATACAAGCTCATCATATACAATTACAACTAGTGAGAATGGAGAATATTTTAAAGCAGAAATTGAAAGATCTTACGTTTCCTAGTAGTCTAGAATATAGACCAGTAATGAAATAACATAAATCCATAAAATTAAAAAGAAAAAAAATCTCTTCAAAAATGAGAAGAAAAAGGGGAGAAATCATTAAAATCATCTTCAACACTTGAAAATAAGGGTACAAATGATAGTTAGCATCCAACTGGAATTCATATCCAATTTAATTCATAGATTAGTTCTTTATAAATTACAATCGAAATGATAATCATTAATTAAAATCTATCTAGTACAAAAAACATTCTTAAATTATGCAATCAATTAGACCTCCACCCACCTACATAAACTACCTTCCGCTCATTTCATAACAATTCAATATTTGTGGTCTCTTTTTAGAACCCATCTTGCTCTTTTTCCTTCTATTCGGTAGCAATGACCAGATAAAAATTTTAACATCTTACCTAACAAAATCAGAAGAAAGAAAACTTTATTCCATTAATTGCAGCAAACAAATTGTATTCTTCAAATAGTGTCTTTCACACTGCAGGCATCATGACCACCTTGTCGGTTCACCAATAAATTTGGAGAAATACCCCCGCAATTCACTGATAAATCTAGAGAAATACCCCATGGAATTTCTTCTTCCAAAGAGTCATAATCCAATTTAGATCTTGCTAAAAGAGCAACAGGACCGCCAAACTGGAAAAGAGAGAAGCTTATATTTCTCATTTTTGATGTTTTAGACTTCGACCGTCTCTTCCTTCTTGGGATCCTCCGGTGGCGGTGATGGACGGAATTGGAGAGAGCTCAATAAATCATCTTGTCTCTTCCTCTCTCTGCTAGCTGAACCTATAGATTTTCTTTTTCTTTCAAGTCTTGGGTGGGTTTTAAATTGATTGGGGGCTGGGCCGAGGCCCCCAAAAATTTGAGGCCCTAGGCCTTTGCCTAGTTCGCCTTGGGTCAGGGCAGCCCTGAGCAAAGGTCGTAGCACGAGATATTCCATGCACATGCGGCAATAGTGGCATGGATGCATGACATTTAATTTAAGTGTATTCCCAACATGTACAAGTTTGTCTACCAAGTTCACAATGTCTCACTAGTTTTCCGTGAAGGGTTGTCCTTACTAACAGTTCCAGTTCGAGTTCGAGTTCGAGTTCGAGTTCGATTTAAATATTTACGTGGATCTAAATGGTTCCATTTATGAAATAATCCATTTCAGCCATTTTTGCAATGTTTATACTTTATAACATTCGCCCGGCCAATGTTTTTTAATTGTCTGTATTTCTTCTTGCTTAAATTTGCATTTCTCTATCTATCATTCCATTCTTGCACGGATATATATATATAATACAAAATCTAGATCTGGTTAGCTATTAATTACTAGAAGACCAAGCTCTTTGTGTTATGGAGCCTAGCTGAAAGGTAAACAAAATGTGAATATCATTTTCTAAAAAATGTTAAATACAGCTGAATATGACAATTAATTAATTAACATTTTTGCATACTGTGATTTGCACGTTAAACTTAGTTGCATAGAAAAGGAAATGGAAATGAGAAAGGTGACACAACACAGCACACGAAAAATTTTATTTCTAGAAAATAGGATATAAAAGCTACATAAATATGCTATTACCAATTATTACTTATTTTTGTAAATTCATTGACTCATTGTTTAATTCAAGATAATGTATTTACCATTAGGTATTCATAAGTTAATTTTAGTTGAAGTCTGGATGAAGAAATCAAGGTTTCTATTAAGTGTCACAATTTACCAAAATTCGAAAAAAAAGAAAAAAAATTTATCGGACTTTTTTTATTTTTAAAAACATTTCTTGAAGTTTTTGAAGAGTTTTGATTTCCGAAACAATTTCAGAAATGGAGAAGCTAGCATTTGGAATTTTCATATATAAATTATAAACCCATAGTTAGAAAGTAGAATTAGACATATAGTGTTTGGTACGTTAATTTTTTTCCGTGTGTGTAGCATTGTTCCTATATGAATAATTCTGCTCCTCCCGGGTTTAAATCTCGAGATTGGAAACAGGTGCTAAGTGTCAACACTTGTCTTTTTCTTTTTTTTTTTGAACTGCCCAATTAACTACTGACACGTGACATCTAGATCCAAATCTTTATATTTTATTTTATTTTTTATTATGGCAGGGGAATCTGCAGCCGCTACCCTTCGCATGTGCACTGGGTAAATCCTCGTGCTGACGTAATAGCCTGCAAATCACGTCAGTTAGGTAAATCGCACTAGACATGTTTTGTGCGATAGGCTCGACCAAAAAAGTGTTGGTAGGGGGAATTGAATTCATGATAAAAAATCTTCGCACTCACTTACTCCACCAACTCGACCCCCCCATAAAGGGTCAAACCTTTTTTTTTTTTTAATCCCTCTGTGTGTAGCATTGTCCTATCTATATTTGGATTAGTTGAAGGAGGGAAGGTAGCTTGGAAACGCGTTACAGATAATGAAGCTACCAAATGTCTAAATTAAGTAAATAAATATAAATTTCGTGTCTTCCACTTAACAGCTTTATTGTAAAATGTGACTTTCAAACAAAGTGTAATGAAAAATTCCATCTAAAAACGAACACAGCGTGTGATGATGGCACCGAACCTAACAACCTAATCATTGGCTTCACCCATTCGAATTAATCTAATAAAATTAGTCTATTAATATCCATTTTATTAATATCTTATTCTTCTGCGATTTTTGTTTTACTTGCTCCACAATAATGTTTAGGGGTATGTTTTTAAATAAATTATTTGATAATAGATTTTGGGAAATGTTTTTTTTAATTATTTTTTATTTTTTAATAAGTTGGTGTTAAAAAGAAATGAAAATTATAAGTCCACCCATAAAATTATTTTATTGGAAGAATGTTTTACTGAAAATGAGTTTTGAAGAATATTTACCAAATAGGGGCCAAGTATCCTTTTACAAGTTGCTTCTAGAATTCAAAATTTAGATATATTTCTAGAATTATTTTATTTATGACCGTGGTGTTCGAGTCAATTTATATGCATCTCAATTAATCCCACAAGACCTTGAAATTTATAATCGAGTACCCATCTCAGTGGTTCTAAAGGGACTTGAACTTGAACTGGTGATCATTGGAAAGCAAACTCAATGCCTAATCATTGATATATCCCTCAGGATTCTAGAATTATTTTATTTGGCTAAAAGAACTTTAGAGGAAGTTATCATCCTCAAGAAATTATTCTACAAGAAGCAAAACTAAAAACGTAGCCAAACAAGTCCTAAAGATATTTTTGGAATATTAATTTACAGTTTTACTACATGTTCATTATGGATGACATTAAATTTGACATTATTTGTTGTAACAACAATCATGGCCATTGATTTTGAATGCACTTCTTCAAATCACTGGTCATATTTCTTACATATAGGAGGATTTCGTCCATAATGTGCAAGCTTTTTGCAGAGAAAAGTTAAGCATTACACTATTCAGGACTAGATTTTGCTAATCCATGCATTAATCCTTACTTATCGATTTAAATAACAATCACTTTGGATAGTATGAACATTTAAATCGATTTGAAAAAGGAGTGACAAAACTGCTTAAGGAAGCTTATATGATTGCGAATCGCTTGTAACATTATGTGTTCCTGACCTATTTGAAGTGTAATATATACACACCTTTAAAAAAATTACATTTTCTTTTTCATTTACATGGGAGATATTAAGTTTCTTGATTGATAAAAGTTGAACTCAATATTTATTTTGTATGGTATATAATTTAATAAATGGACTCCATAACATCTTCATGTGAAAATATTTTTTTTTTGTTTTTAAACTTAGCTAAATATGCTCGATGTGACCTACCTCTTATTAATTAATTATAAACTTCAAAATTAAATTGAAATATAAAAATTAATTAGATAAATTGTTAACAATAGTTAAAAATAAAATACTAATAGAAACTCTGGGTCCGTTTGATTGTTAAGGTGAAAAATTGTAAGTCGGAAAAGAACAAACTATCAAAATCATAAGAATGCATTTTCATGGAACTGGCAAAAAACATGCTTAAGTTTTTGTATTTTGGAATTCGAACTCCAATTCTACTTCCGTATTAAACAGTTAAAGTAGATAACGAATTTCTCGAATGTGATATTTTTCATGGAATTTACTCCAATCAAACAGACCCTTAGTTCAAAATGTTTCTAGTAAATGAGACAACAAAAATATCAAATTAAAATTTATTTTCAATGAAGTTATAATCGATCAATTATATGAATATTATTTTCCCATTAACATGTCTAATGGGAATAAAAACTCGAAAGGATAAACTAATAAGATCTATAACATAAAATGACCTCTTTTCTTGATATTCTTCAGGTGAGCAAAATATTTCAGTCGATCTCGACAAGACGTTAACGGTCTTTTTCGAATTCTAAACCAGACCCTTGCTGTCTAGTGCTATCATTTTCGGAGAAGTTATCTTGTTTTATTAACTGTAAGAAAACGAGACTAGAAGTTGGCACGATCCCATCCCCTCTGGTATTAACATTCATAAAACTCGACAAGCTCTTCTAAGGATTCAGGCTGAGGATCAGCATTTTCCAGCATCCAAAGCAAATGCTCGAAAAGCACAACTTCGCAGCCGACAGTAATCGAGTCATCATCGGCCCTGGACCGCTCCACCAGCTCCCGGAAGAGCAGGTTGTCCATGACGTTGGTGGTGATGAAGTAGCGCCGCCTTGACTTACCGACATAGACGGGGTGGAGCTCTTTTTCGGCTGCCGTGTCATCATCTGAGAAATTGTTGATGGAGGTGTCATTGGCCCGGCTGATCTTGAAAGATTGCATTTTCTTTAGCATGGACTTAAGCTTGGTGAGTTTGCCTCCTTTTACCATCGTATATTGGAGCAGAAGTTTCTTTGGAAAGAAGAGAATTTGATTCTTGAAGACGAAATGAAGAAGAAGAGTGGAATTTGAGGGGTTTGGGAAATGAGGAAGAAGGTTCGTTATATATAAGGGTTTTGTCGCGGGGGTTAGGTTGGGTGTGGGGTGGTGTGGGGTGGGGTGAGGAAATAGAAATGTATTTGAGTAACAATACCTTAAATCCAAGTTTCATTGTGTATTGTATTGTTTTTCTGTATTCTGTTTAATTTATAATACATTGTGGGAAAATTAGGATGAGCATCCTAATTCTGTTATCAGTATTGATTTTCTGTATTCTGTTTAATTTATAACAAGTTTGAACGCATATGACTGTATTGTAATATGATGTTGTAATATATCATATTACATATAACAAATAATTTTATTTGTAATTTGAGACATTCGTGTCGTCAATGAAACTTGACAACCTGCGGAGATTGGTGTTGATTGTAGGTGAAAGGGTAATTATATTTAAGTCACAACTTTTATTTCTTCAACCACATTTTAATAACATTTAAGATTCTTCATCTTTTCTCATTATAACATTTATGTCCATAACGATTTTTATGTCATTCTTATTCTTAAACTTTCCATTAGTTAACACATTTTGTATTTGATAATAACTTTATGTACAAAAGTCTGTTGAAATGGCGTAAAACAAGTTATTCTTCCATCATATTACTAAATAAATAAATAAAATAAAATGTGTAAAAAATATTTTTCCCTCATTTCAAAGCATGAAAACAAAATATTTTGTTTATAAATCATCATCAAGAACAAGACATACTAATTAATGGAAGGTTGCAAATAAGAATTCGACAAAAAAAATAAGAAAATAATTGTTTAATAAGTAAAGATTGAGGAGTTAAAGTGCATTTAAAATGTGGTGTAACCCAAGAAGAAAGTCGACAATGGTAGTAACTAACAAGCCATGGTCTTTGGTGACAACCGGCAAGTGTTACTAGTGCTGCTCACTGACTGACAGAAGTTAGGGTAATATTCACAGCATTAATGGATGCATATTTGCGAAGCTGTTATAAGAGCAATATATTCATAATCAGCGACTACAGTAAGCTTGTTATTTTATGTATTAAGCGTCTGTAATTCTATTGCTTCAAATAACAAGCTAATACATCAAATAGCAAGCTGCCACATAAAATGATTATTGCAGTCGCTGATTATGAATAACATTACTCTTGTTACAAATATTGATGGACGTGGTCGTCAGTATGTAATTGATGGTCAATGTTGCTTTATAGTTATGGACAACTAGTAATTGAATATTTTGGTTGTTGATTACTAACTTTGACAATCCTTAACCTCTATATCATCGTCGGACCTCTAGTTGCTGACCAATGGCAATTATTGAGCAGTGACAAACTAAATAATGTTGGAGGCCATAAATTAAGTGTTAGTCTAGTTACTAATAAATTAAAAATAATAGAATGTTTGAAAGTAACTCTTGCTTTTCCCCTAAAAGAAATTACAATTTTTTTTCCTCTCGTCGTCCCACCTTCGGCAGCTCTTCACAGCTCCTTCCTCCGCCCCTTCCACCACCCCCTGATGACCCTAATGCGTAAAAGAGTGTATACAAATACAAATACTTAAATATCGGCTATGTACTTTGTTTGCTCTCGCATTCAACAAGAAAATGAAGATTGGTTCTTTAATTTATTTCTTCTTCAACTTGTTTCCAAAAAATATTGTTATTGAAAGCGACAGACATGTGCAAAGAAAAAGTCTGCCATATTCTGAAGCTCAATTATTAATAATTCTTACTGAATTTCCTCTTATTTTAATAAGAGATTACAAACTTGTTAATTAAAATTAATATATTTATCGATTAAGGATCAACAGACAGTAACTACCAGAATATTTTCTTTTCCTAATTCTTGTTGGTGCAATTAAAAAAATAACAGTTTATCAACTACTGTACATTTTTAATCTGTTGAGTATATAAAATTGTGTGACATGCCTGAACAAGAAAAGGAGAGGACAAGAGTGAAGCAAACAACAAAGAGAACTTGTTTTTACTGTTGTCCAAGTTGAACAAGGAATTCTTCCAAATGTGGCACCACTTTAGTTGCATGTTTAGTAGGTTTGACACGTTCAGCAACCTGACCTCCAATCAAAGATGCAAAATAAACTTGTCCCCCGGGGCACATCCCAACTGGCAAATGTCGGAGTTTTTCAAGATGGGCAGTTCAGAGGTCGCGGGTTCGATTCATGGAGCTATTAGAAGACAGACTTTCTCTTGGAAGGCAGGATATTTTCTGGAAGGCAGGAGTTCTCCTGGAAGGCGAGACGCATGCATGGATTTAACTCGCTCGGCACTTTGGCAGTTCAGTTGGAAGGGCTCTTGGACTCTAACAAGTTTGGGGCACAACCCGCGGTTTACCTGGTCTGCGTGAAGAGGAGCTGGATTGTGCAAAATAAACTTTTCCATCAAGAGGCAAGCAGTATAATATAAAAGCTAAAGAAATTACACTTCATCGTCCTAGTGACACTCATCATCAAACGCCAAGTGTAGTCTCTCCGACTCTTGGTCATATTCAACTCTATAGTTGAGAATTTTTTTTTTTAATTTATTATTTTACTCCAAATTCTGGAAGTACATATATTTATCTCAGTTTCTATGAATGTACCAAAAAGCGTCTCTAGCATATTCCCTTGTTCTCGGTTAGAAAGTTGGGACCTCTGCTTTCACATCACTCTCACCTTAAACTTGCCACATATGAATAAAGTGAATATAAGAGTATCTATCAACCAAATTAAGTGAATTTTTCATGAGTAGGAAAAATAATCAGGATTCGTGTTGAGTTCAACTGAAAATTCCACGGAATCTAAACTAAGGCAATAATCATTGGAATGAGAAATTCTATGCTAGTGTTGAATCTTGATGCACGATAAAGCAGCGGTGCAACAAATGCATTGCACCTAGAGAGTATCCTGAGAAAAAATGGATACCGAGTCTGGAAGATTGGACAAACCGTAGATATCTATCTCACGTTTTGCTTTCATACTATTATCTAATCTTATTCAATTTAGCATAATTCTCTTTACTACGATGAACCAAAAACATTGTATTTTAGCAAAAAGTTTTCCTCATGTCTTTACTCATTCCAACAAGGCTTGCAAAATGAGTAACTTTAAGAATATGCTCTAACACCCACCCCCAATATATGCATTTATGTGGTTCTATTCAATTACAAGAAGCCAAAATTACAAACAACAAAAACCATAACCTAGTGGATACATGCATTAAACCACTATTGTGAAAATAGGATAAGGAACCAAATGCATTGAGTCCATTCCATTTTATGGTCAAATTACATGTTGAAAAGGAAATAGACAAGGCATTTCTTGTGCAGAACCATGTGACAAAACATGGACTTAACAAGAGTTGATTCACGTTAGTAGATATATATTAATGCAAAAAAGCCCAAAGCCCATACTATCCCATGTGGAGTGATGATATCACCAAATTTTCTCGCCATGTGAAGCCAAATATAAGTATATAACTAGTTTTATGTGCGGCGACACCAACAGATATATTGGATAAATATGAGCATATTGCTGACTATTATTATTTTTGTCCAATGCCACCTATTTGTATATGAATATTTGTGGAATAATGAATATTCATATATATTATTGGGTTTTATACGCAATAATAGATAAGCAAAAAAGAGAAATCAACACAAGTATTTATTGTGGTTCGATAATGTGCTTATGTTCACAAGGAGCAAAATGGAGATGGTTCAATATTTATACTAACCTTAGCTCAATATCATACAAGACTTTAGGACTTGAACAAGAAAATACCCATGTACTATACCGTTATCCTCGTATCCAACCTATTCGGTGTCTCTAGCCAACAGACAGTTATTTAAAACCCGAGAAGCCGACGCCGTTGCTCCGCTCTGACATCAATCACTTTGATCCAGTAAAAATGTGTTCCGCTTTATATAAGTCACATACACTACAATCGTCACCTTTGCGAATATCCATCCCTTAGGAGAAACACTGGAAAACATAATATGGGAAAAACACCATCTAGGACCAATATGTTGGGATACTTCCTCTCTAACACCTAGAGATATTAATCAAATTCAAGTATTGCTTGACCTATCCATTGTGATTAACTTTGTCAACATATTTGCTGCATTCTCTAAGGTATGAACATTCTCTAGCGACAGTTCTTCTGAGGCAACCAACTCCATTATCTTGTGAAATCTCCCATCAATAAGCTTGGTTCTTGCATGATAAATCTGATTCTTTGCTAAGAAGATGACTGTTTGACTATTACAATACAGTTTCATTTTGTCTTATTTGATTCCAAACTCCTTGACAAGCCCTCTCAACCACAATAATTCTTTGGCTCCCTCGGTTGCCCCCAAATACTTATCTTGAATTGTGGATAATACCATAAGTGACTGCATCATTGATCTCCAATAAATAGGCCTACCTGTGAGTGTGAAAACGTAATCTGTATGAGACCTCCTGTCATCCAAATCACTTGCATAATCTATATCTAAGTATCCCTGAACTGAAACATCCTCATGTTGTTTCACAAAAATGATCCCACGCTCTATTGTAACTTTTAAGTACTTGAAAATTTACTTTACAACTTTCCAATGCTCTCTGTCAAGGCCATGTACTTGCTCACCACATTGACTGCACATGCTAAATTTGGTCTGCACACACCATTTCATACATCAAACATCCCACTACACTGGCATCGAGCACTTTTTAACATCTCTACAATTTCTTTTTCATTCTTTTGGCATTGACTAGTAGAAAATTTGAAGTGATTCGCCAACAACGTACCCACTGGTTTTGCATCAGACATGCTAAATTTTTCCAACACTTTCTTCAAATAATTTTTTTGAGACACCCATAATTTCTTGGCTTTCCTATCTTTGTTGATCAAGTTCGGATTTCTGATCACTATATACATATACATAAGTCGGGCAACCAAATACTCTCGATACAAAATAATCAACTCCATTACCTATCCAAACTTCTTCTGCAGCTTTTCCATATAATGCTACCCATTGTGATCCATTTGTGACATAACATGCAATGTTCACTGCTTTTGCCCATAAACTCTTCGGAAACCCTGTATTCAGTTTTAAATATCTTGTCTGTTCTGCAATCGTTTTGCTCATCATCTTCTCTACACCATTCTACTATGATGTCTTGCAAATTGTATAGTGTCGCTATATACCATGCTCCTCGTAGAATTTCAAAAACTGTAAATCTGTGTACTTGGACTGTTGTCTGTCTCCACTCTGCTCCGCTACGATAGGATATCGACCAATTTGATCTAGTAAACAAGTGTTCCACTTTATATGAGTCACACACACAAAACATATATATGTTGTGTTTATATCTATATTGTAATTAAAACGCGTTACTCAACTCTCATAGATATTAAATGTACAACTGTGAAATACTTACTAAAAACTATTTAATTTAGGGAAAGTCCTCACTTTTGATTGGTGAAAATTTTTAATTTTCTTTTTGTACTGGTCGTGTATAGGTCATATTTTAGAAACGTAGTACATGAACGGTCAACAATTGCTTTCAGGTTTACAAGCCCGTATTTTCGAGAGAGTTGATGAGGATCTTTATACAATTGTTACCTAGTCGATTCAATATATCCTGATAACACAAATGAAATGACTCTCAATCTGGAGCCTAGTACGATTCAAACATGACATATGAACGGAAGACCTCCACTAGTTATACAAAACGTTAATTCTCAAAGAAACAAACTCTGAATTCTCCAAAGAACAATTTTCTCCCTAATTTCTACAAAATCATGTTTTCACCGACTTAAATATCAAAGTGTTTGACAAATACGATCAAAGGGACCATTTCTCAATAGTATGTTAATCTTTGGAGGATCGTAATTGAGCATCAACATATATGTGAATTATGAATAGAAAGACAAACCCACACTGTATAATCTTGTCTAGATTGAACTGATCAGGTCATTAGTTAATAATGTTTTGTGGAAAAACGTCGAAATTAAGACAATGATTATGCTTGCAAATTTTAAGCAACTTGTACCAATGTCGGCGAAGTGTTCCCTCACATGACCTAGAATTAGAAAACGTGAATACATGATAATGATACTAAAATTTGTCATTATAAAAAACAAATAATCTTTGTTTTGGATTTTAATGAGATATGATTGTCTATTAATTAAGTTGGAACGTTCAAAGGATAACACTGAACAGATAACGAACTTCTAATTTAATAAACAATACTCCTAACTAATATAATTACTTAAATCTAGATTAACTCAAACTTTATCTTTTAATCTTTTGCTATATTTTAGTTTTGACAAATCAAACTATTTGATTGAATTTTTGGTGCTTTGATATGTTATGAAATGTTCTATCTTAAAAGACAAATTTTGTTAAAAGAAGTAATTCAAATCGTTAATTCATCGTTAATACATGGACGACTCCTCTCTCTTTTTACCTCGAGCTCTAGTGCTATATCGCTAATTAACGTAATTGAGATTATAGGTGCTTCTTGTCAAATTTGATAGTTAAATTTCATATATAAACTACTTATTCCACCTACTGAATCAATGCATATTTATTATTTAACGAAGTGTCAGTCTTCGTGTAACCTTTAGTTCATTTCACCGTGGCTGGGTTCCGAGGCAATTTTGGTAATTATATTTGTTTCATTTAATTAATTATGTTTTAAACAGTTTGATTTTAGGAAGGAATTGGAGGCTCTACGCTTAATTTGCACGTTAGCATACGAGAATCGTTTCAACAGGAAGAACTAAAGAAATCGGTATTAAGCATTATGATCTCTTGACCTATGGTGAAGTTTCTTGTCAGTCACCTGCTTTAAGTTCCATTTAATTTGCACTTTGCTTCTGTTAAAACCCGTTAATTAGAGATTCACTCAAATCACGACATCTGGAACGTATAATGGATCAACACGGACCTCACACCCAGTCCTTCTCTCTCTCTCACCTGGTGTCCGAGGTGTTGTAAGGGACACAAGATGTCTCTACCACGTGTGCATATAGAGCCGACCCACTGCTAGTGCAACTCATCTTGAATTGGAGCAGAATTTTCACCACGAATCCAGATTGGTGAATTCAGTGAAACTTAAGGCTGCACTAGAAATGAGAACCTGAATACAAGTCAACTTGGCAGTATAGTGACCCCTTGGCCAGGATCTGACTGGCAATATCATTTGCCTCATTATCACTTCTCACAAAGTTTAAAACCATGAATAGATGCAAAGAATCAATGGACTATTACTACAAAAGTGGAGCTCCCAGAGTTGAATATTTAAATATTTACAACATAGAAACCTATATATCTAGCAACTAGATGGGAATAAAATAAAACTGAGAAAATTAATGTAAAAAAGGCTTGGTTAGAATCTTGAAACCGCTGCCAATTTATTATTTCATGCTAAGATATCACGCTACCACCAAGGTTTTTGTGCTCCGAATAACTGCTACAAATTACATGGCAGGACAAGAGGGTGGCTCTCCAAAGAAACATGGGACCAAAAAATTCTGATACAATATATTTTGGTGGACCTTGCTGCATGTACATCAAACTTTACATAATGGATTACATAATGCCACATGCCACTTTATCATTTATCAATTTAAAACACAATCAACATTTTCATCCAATCTTTTCCCTCAACTTCATTTTATGTAACCCATTATGTACCATTTTTATGTACAAGTAGCATGATCCTATTTTGTTTTACCACTTTTACTTGGATCTCCCAAGAAACCTACAATCATGTAAATCTGGAGCAGCATGAATTATGACAGTGCAGATACCAAATCAAAACCTCAATGGCAGATTGCGTCTCCATGCATTATCCACCGAACGAAACTATCTGAAAATTCCTCAAGAACTTCATAGTTATGGGCCTTACTATAAGACAAGTTGGTTTCAGTCTGCTGCCTTCCCTACAAATGTCACACAGGAAACAAGGTAATATCAATGTCTGTCTATCCAAAATATTTATCAACAGAGAAGAGAGCATTCTCAATCTCTTAAAAAACGGACAAAACCGTTATTCTTTTGGTGCAAGATAAATTGTCGTGACTTGTGAATCACCCACTGGTGTAATGCACAGATGCATTTGGAATGTGATCAATCAAAAAGGGTAGAAAAGCAATATCGTTGGTAGTGAAAAAGCTAGATGCAAACTTTAATTCAGAAACTTTACTCTCTCTTTTTTATAAATAATCTCTCATTAAACAGTTCTAGGTCGTTTGTTGTTCATAAAGTGGGATTCATGAAATCCAAAATTCTGAACCCATAATGGTCATACAGAGTAAGTTATAAAATGTTAAAAAATAACAGAAAAGGGAAATAGCAAGTTTCAATGTGAAATGGTCCATTCCCTGGATAAGCCAAAGGTTCTGATCATATATTTTCAAGAGATTTCAATAGCGAGGAAACAAAGTAACATCATTCATTTTTCTAGAAAAGATTACTCCCGTCCATGAAGCACCAAGAAGTCATCACCCATAGTATCTTAAAGAAAAAAGAAATTCAAGCGACTCTAAATAGGAGTACCTTTCCAATGACTCTTCCTCGCATGAAGTTCCAGAGGAAAGCCAATCTAAGTCAACGAAGTTCGAGCAGTCAATCGTGTCTACATTTTCATGTTCAAGGCAGCCATCTCTCTGCATTTCTGCACGAAGCTCCACAGATGGCACTGAAGGGGTGTACCTGCAGATGTGAAAATGTTGACAGATTAGCCAAGGAAATTTTCTTTTGATATCAAAAGAAGACACATTTCAATGAATTATTTCCAGCTTTAAATTCTTTAGGTGACATCATTCCATCTTCAGAGATGTTGTGCGGGCACGCACATGCTTGTTTGTCAGACTAGACCAATACAAGATGGCAGATAATGAAACAAACGTAAAATTTTTATACATTACCATATTCTAAAATTGCCCAAGTCTGTATCCTGTAAACCGATAAAATTTATACTGAAATAAGCACACAACTGTGCAAATTCACATATTAAATTCCGGGTAAATATTTAAAAAACAAGTAACTATAAAGCAGTAGAGCTGAGCTTCTCCTCCGGATAATGTAAACAACAATAGAGCTACTCGTTCAAGAGATGATATTTCATCCTCCCATGTCGATGCTAGAAAATCAATATTATACAAAAGAACTACAAGAACAAACAGAAGAGACCGAGCAGATTCCAACGTAGATGCAGACAATGCAATAAGTTCACAACCTTCAAAGATAAGAAATAGACAGGAAATTCAATCCATAATCTTTAATAGTTGTTTAGCAAAATGTTTAAGCAATATGATCTCAGTCCTCGGAGCAAAAAAGAAGAGTAATTTTCCCAACTTTATGGAACTCAATCAAAATCAATGTCCAAGGATCAGACAGCTTTGAGCTACGATTTGTTTTTCTTCTGTTGACAGTCTAACAAACATTTTCGATGATGGGGCTTGTTATATCTAAAAATGGTGAAGCTATGAAGTTCCTAAAAGTGACCCTGTGAAGTATTGAAGTGATGAAGATGTAAGAGGAAATTATGAATTGGAAATTGGATATAGTAAATGTTTCCACTGTTAAGAAAAAGGGTAAACAGGAGGGAATGATATGGTGGATTCTGAGTCCAGCCCACCCCCTACACATGCATAAACACAACAATCTTAAATCACCCCCAATTTCAAAAGTTAATTCTCTCCCATCTCTATCCTATCTACAAAACAGAGAGGTAAATAGGTGCTTTTTTGATGGAAAATCATACATCACATTTTCTGTTCCATCTACTCTCCCACCCTTTTGACCAAACAGAGGATGCATTAAATATTAATGCAGCACATACTACATACAAAATTGGTAGTTCTTATTTAAAAATTCACACAAAAAATTAAGCATACATGTACAAATTAGTAGGAAAAGAAGAGTACCTTGAACATGTTACGTCACTTTCAGAAGCTGATATTACTGGTGTTGACTCGGAAAGCATTTTGCATTCTCTTTTTGGCTTGTCTGATAACCCAGCACTAGAAAAGCCCATATTGGTTTTTGAGGTGGATGTGGGCGAGTGACTTTCACTAAGAATGTTTCCATCTGACCATGATCTTTTAAAAAGTAATCTAGACACAGAAAACACGAATGAACATCATCTTACCACCACACGGCTATAGAAAGAGTTACTGAGCTATCACAAAAATATATTAGTCCCCCACAAATTTGTTTGCAACAAATACAGCAGTACATCTTGGACCAGTAATAAATAAATCAATTCCATCCTGAAGAGAATATATATATTGGTCCAACATGAATTTTTAGCTTATCGAACAAATCAAAATTTGGGCAATCTAGAAGTCAGATGGAAGTCCTTCGGCAAAAATTTTGTAAAATTTCGCCATATACGTAAAAGAGATTATAAGCATTTCCACAGATAGTTATGGAAGTCCTAAGGCAAAAAATGCATGCGAAAATTTGGGCAAATTTTCCCATAAACGTAAAAGAGATTATAAGCATTTCCACAGATAACTATCTCCACAAAACAGAGAGGTAAATAGGTGCTTTTTTGATGGAAAATCATACATCACATTTTCTGTTCCATCTACTCTCCCACCCTTTTGACCAAACAGAGGATGCATTAAATATTAATGCAGCACATACTACATACAAAATTGGTAGTTCTTATTTAAAAATTCACACAAAAAATTAAGCATACATGTACACATTAGTAGGAAAAGAAGAGTACCTTGAACATGTTACGTCACTTTCAGAAGCTGATATTACTGGTGTTGACTCGGAAAGCATTTTGCATTCTCTTTTTGGCTTGTCTGATAACCCAGCACTAGAAAAGCCCATATTGGATTTTGAGGTGGATGTGGGCGAGTGACTTTCACTAAGAATGTTTCCATCTGACCATGATCTTTTAAAAAGTAATCTAGACACAGAAAACACGAATGAACATCATCTTACCACCACACGGCTATAGAAAGAGTTACTGAGCTATCACAAAAATATATTAGTCCCCCACAAATTTGTTTGCAACAAATACAGCAGTACATCTTGGACCAGTAATAAATAAATCAATTCCATCCTGAAGAGAATATATATATTGGTCCAACATGAATTTTTAGCTTATCGAACAAATCAAAATTTGGGCAATCTAGAAGTCAGATGGAAGTCCTTCGGCAAAAATTTTGTAAAATTTCGCCATATACGTAAAAGAGATTATAAGCATTTCCACAGATAGTTATGGAAGTCCTAAGGCAAAAAATGCATGCGAAAATTGGGGCAAATTTTCCCATAAACGTAAAAGAGATTATAAGCATTTCCACAGATAACTATCTCCCACCATACCTTCCATTTTCATCAATATTTGACTGCCCATATCTCCCCACATTGTAATGTTGGTCAGAATCCAGTTCCCACACATCCGGTTTACCTGGTTGAGGTAGAAAATCCCCCAAAAATCTGCTCAAATACATATGAACCGTTAATTTCAATGAACGCGTCATTTGATCAACTTGAAAAAAAAGAATGGTAGTTTAAACAAGAAAGTCTTTGAAACGACAGACAAAACTCTCTCTTGATCCATTGAAACATGTTCAATTGAGGATAAAGAAAATCTGGCTGAAATTGGAATGTTCCTTAACTCCCCCACACAATCCATCTCATTATCCAGGACTTCTCTATCACGTAAAAGTTCAGAAAGCATAAGTAAGATCGTTACCACTACTAACTTACACATTAATGGCATTTTGTTTCTCTGCATCCATGTATGCATTGCTGTAATAACGCTGTAGAGTTCGAAAAAATTCCTGGGACTGGATTGCAGCTTTCCACTGACCTCTTCTCTCAGAGAAAATCTAAAAAAATAATTAAATAAAGTTGAAAAAATATTTCGAACGTCAATACGAAATGTTCTTATAATACAGACATGAGAAACCCTTCCTGGTTTTCATTTCTAGATAAATTGAGCAACTAGACACAATATATCTACTAGTCTGAAAGAATGAGATTATGGAGGATTAGTTGGAGAAGGCTAAAATAAGGAGGCCATGTATATTCAAAATAATTTCGGAATAGACATTGAGAACCATATTAACAATTTCAACTGCACTAGTGAAAGAGGGTGATGAGAGCTAGGAATAGACGACCTCAACCACAACAATGTCAAACAGACCTCAAATGTAAGAAAAGAGTTGAGATCAATTACAAATTCACAGAAAAGTTATACGAAAGAAACCTGTACATACTTGCAAGAAAAGAAAGATAATACGGGTAAGGAATAATGGATCTAAAGCAACTTAACTTGCTTGCCAAATAACAGAAAAGGGAAATAGCAAGTTTCAATGTGAAATGGTCCATTCCCTGGATAAGCCAAAGGTTCTGATCATATATTTTCAAGAGATTTCAATAGCGAGGAAACAAAGTAACATCATTCATTTTTCTAGAAAAGATTACTCCCGTCCATGAAGCACCAAGAAGTCATCACCCATAGTATCTTAAAGAAAAAAGAAATTCAAGCGACTCTAAATAGGAGTACCTTTCCAATGACTCTTCCTCGCATGAAGTTCCAGAGGAAAGCCAATCTAAGTCAACGAAGTTCGAGCAGTCAATCGTGTCTACATTTTCATGTTCAAGGCAGCCATCTCTCTGCATTTCTGCACGAAGCTCCACAGATGGCACTGAAGGGGTGTACCTGCAGATGTGAAAATGTTGACAGATTAGCCAAGGAAATTTTCTTTTGATATCAAAAGAAGACACATTTCAATGAATTATTTCCAGCTTTAAATTCTTTAGGTGACATCATTCCATCTTCAGAGATGTTGTGCGGGCACGCACATGCTTGTTTGTCAGACTAGACCAATACAAGATGGCAGATAATGAAACAAACGTAAAATTTTTATACATTACCATATTCTAAAATTGCCCAAGTCTGTATCCTGTAAACCGATAAAATTTATACTGAAATAAGCACACAACTGTGCAAATTCACATATTAAATTCCGGGTAAATATTTAAAAAACAAGTAACTATAAAGCAGTAGAGCTGAGCTTCTCCTCCGGATAATGTAAACAACAATAGAGCTACTCGTTCAAGAGATGATATTTCATCCTCCCATGTCGATGCTAGAAAATCAATATTATACAAAAGAACTACAAGAACAAACAGAAGAGACCGAGCAGATTCCAACGTAGATGCAGACAATGCAATAAGTTCACAACCTTCAAAGATAAGAAATAGACAGGAAATTCAATCCATAATCTTTAATAGTTGTTTAGCAAAATGTTTAAGCAATATGATCTCAGTCCTCGGAGCAAAAAAGAAGAGTAATTTTCCCAACTTTATGGAACTCAATCAAAATCAATGTCCAAGGATCAGACAGCTTTGAGCTACGATTTGTTTTTCTTCTGTTGACAGTCTAACAAACATTTTCGATGATGGGGCTTGTTATATCTAAAAATGGTGAAGCTATGAAGTTCCTAAAAGTGACCCTGTGAAGTATTGAAGTGATGAAGATGTAAGAGGAAATTATGAATTGGAAATTGGATATAGTAAATGTTTCCACTGTTAAGAAAAAGGGTAAACAGGAGGGAATGATATGGTGGATTCTGAGTCCAGCCCACCCCCTACACATGCATAAACACAACAATCTTAAATCACCCCCAATTTCAAAAGTTAATTCTCTCCCATCTCTATCCTATCTACAAAACAGAGAGGTAAATAGGTGCTTTTTTGATGGAAAATCATACATCACATTTTCTGTTCCATCTACTCTCCCACCCTTTTGACCAAACAGAGGATGCATTAAATATTAATGCAGCACATACTACATACAAAATTGGTAGTTCTTATTTAAAAATTCACACAAAAAATTAAGCATACATGTACACATTAGTAGGAAAAGAAGAGTACCTTGAACATGTTACGTCACTTTCAGAAGCTGATATTACTGGTGTTGACTCGGAAAGCATTTTGCATTCTCTTTTTGGCTTGTCTGATAACCCAGCACTAGAAAAGCCCATATTGGATTTTGAGGTGGATGTGGGCGAGTGACTTTCACTAAGAATGTTTCCATCTGACCATGATCTTTTAAAAAGTAATCTAGACACAGAAAACACGAATGAACATCATCTTACCACCACACGGCTATAGAAAGAGTTACTGAGCTATCACAAAAATATATTAGTCCCCCACAAATTTGTTTGCAACAAATACAGCAGTACATCTTGGACCAGTAATAAATAAATCAATTCCATCCTGAAGAGAATATATATATTGGTCCAACATGAATTTTTAGCTTATCGAACAAATCAAAATTTGGGCAATCTAGAAGTCAGATGGAAGTCCTTCGGCAAAAATTTTGTAAAATTTCGCCATATACGTAAAAGAGATTATAAGCATTTCCACAGATAGTTATGGAAGTCCTAAGGCAAAAAATGCATGCGAAAATTGGGGCAAATTTTCCCATAAACGTAAAAGAGATTATAAGCATTTCCACAGATAACTATCTCCCACCATACCTTCCATTTTCATCAATATTTGACTGCCCATATCTCCCCACATTGTAATGTTGGTCAGAATCCAGTTCCCACACATCCGGTTTACCTGGTTGAGGTAGAAAATCCCCCAAAAATCTGCTCAAATACATATGAACCGTTAATTTCAATGAACGCGTCATTTGATCAACTTGAAAAAAAAGAATGGTAGTTTAAACAAGAAAGTCTTTGAAACGACAGACAAAACTCTCTCTTGATCCATTGAAACATGTTCAATTGAGGATAAAGAAAATCTGGCTGAAATTGGAATGTTCCTTAACTCCCCCACACAATCCATCTCATTATCCAGGACTTCTCTATCACGTAAAAGTTCAGAAAGCATAAGTAAGATCGTTACCACTACTAACTTACACATTAATGGCATTTTGTTTCTCTGCATCCATGTATGCATTGCTGTAATAACGCTGTAGAGTTCGAAAAAATTCCTGGGACTGGATTGCAGCTTTCCACTGACCTCTTCTCTCAGAGAAAATCTAAAAAAATAATTAAATAAAGTTGAAAAAATATTTCGAACGTCATAACTGAAAATAAAATGGCTACAACAAAAGAATGACAATATATATATTCACCAAGAGATTTTTTGTGCTGACCCTGTGATAGATAGCAAACTGACTTTGACTCTAAACGAAACATTAAAGTTGAAAAGTAACAAGATAAAACAATAAGAACCATACACTCAACTCACATTTAGTGGGTACCACCAGGAGCACAACATTTGTTAGGGTAGGGCCCATTCTTGTAGCAAAAATTAGTCTAAATGTCAAAATTGTTCGAACATTTTGATCAACTAAATGAATCGACTAGTTTATGAACCACCGATGGAAGAATACTTCTGGCAACAGATTAGACATAAATTGGCTTTTCATGTTGGGCCATGTTGATGAGAAAAACCACCACACATAGCTATATCAAGATAAATATTACTGATGGAAATCCATATCTCATGGAATAGAGGAGACTAAAAATTGACTTCCCATTGGCAGTAGAAATCACTTATTTTCTGCAAGTAACTCAAATTTTCGACATGACATTCAATAGTAAACTGGTAGAATTTTCAACTACATTTACAATTTCCAAGAATATAGTCTCTTTTATTATAGTACATTAATTCTGTATACACCTGTTAGACATAAATTACTTCGTATCGAACTCAACTCTACCAAAATCAAAAATAGAGAATGATAAGGTGGCTTACTTTGTTGTGAGCAGCTGAGCCACCATACTGGTGTGCAAGAGTATCTCCCATTCTCTCATAAAGACACATTAATTCATCAGCCAAAGGATCATCAAGGTCTATCTTTGTCGAAGTAGATACTCCTAGGGCATGCAATTGATGACCCAAAGCAGCCAAACCATATGTATATTGAGCCACATTGGTGCGATCCAGACAATCTATGCAATTTGTCCTGAGAACTCCCCTTTGAAACGTTGGTGACTTGACAGCAGGATTACAAGTAGAAACGCTAGATTTTCTGTCAGAGCTATCTGAATCCTCAATCTCATCAACACAATGTTTCTCATTTTCTGTGTCACAGTATCTTGTGGCCAACATGCTAGGTGCAACAATATTCCTGCATCACACAACCAATGTTTAAAAATGCTAAATTGGGTACTAAGATCTTTTTCCTTGGTGAGGCAGGGCATAAACCTTGAGGCTTTTGAGGCGTAAGCCTCACCACAATCATATAAATTAAGACAAAAAAATGGAAAGAGAAAAAAAACAATAACAATAAACCTATAAAGGAGCATAAACAATGCCTAAAATTTACAATAGAATTATTTAAAGTGAAACATGCACACAAACACAAATAAACTAATAAAATATAAAATACTGAAAATGTACCCTTGTTTTATTATAAACCTATTATTTTACTTTGTGGGTAGTGGGCTATTCCCAATCAGAAAGCACAAGCTTTTAATGTTTTGTCGGCCCACAGCTAAAGCAAACAATTCTGAACAAATAAACAGATTGAACAACTCAGAAGCGCAGGCTTCACAAGCCTTGAGGCATTCGCCTCCCAAAAGTGCCCAGCGATCAGCGGTTAAAGCACTTTTTTGGATGACTCGCTTTGAAGCGCGCTTGATCATTAATTTTTAACACTGCATACAATCATTGCAAACTTTTCTTTCAGCATCCTAACATATTCATAGTAACACAAAAAATTCTCAAATCCCGTCCATTTATTTTCTAAATAATAATTGCACTATATAAGACCATGGTATCTAAGCATTTTGGTAAGTCAATGGATTGAAATTTTACATCAGCTTCAGGGAAAGAAATATGACATTGAACTCTGAACCACTTACCAAAGAAACCTTTTTCTATTTAGACAATACAAGAACTTGCATTCTCATATAAAATGTTAATTACTATCAATAAGAGAAAAAAAAAAAAAAAAAAAGTTCCTTTCTATCTCATAATGGATGCTCACTTTTTTTTTTTTTTTTTTTTTTTTTTTAAACATTCATTTGACTACCCAATAAACATAAAAGAAACATCACAGCCACAATTCGACAGCCAGGAAAAATGTTAGTAATTCTATATTAGATATCACGATATTGAGCAAGTACCAAAGTATTCCAGTAAAATGTTGTGCTACTAAATTATCACAAGTTTTCTTCAGGTTTTAAAATACTATCCAAACAAATATCATCAGATGACCAAGTGACAAAGATTCTTATAAGTGACACCATATAAATCATTTCAAAAATTGTTCAAAGAGAGTGGAATAGAATGAGAAAACTCACTCAAAACAGGGACATTTGAGAAATCCCTCTGATTGCAAATCTGGTGTAACTTCACAATAGAAGAAACCTGTCAGTGTCAATGCAAATGTAGCAGCCTTCCCCAAAAGTAGCAAAACGTTTGTAGCTTTGCTGGTGGAAAATCAAAAGCAAAAAACACGAGAAGAACAAGAAGACAGAAAAAAGATCAGCTATATCTCAAAAACAAGCATCAGCATGTCTTTAAAATGGAACAACCGATACCTCCGAGAATGTCTGTGCAAATCCCAGTGAAGGAATTTAAGATGATTCTCCTCAGACAGATCTTTATTAATAGCTTCAATTGCATTAGCGAATTCTGTGCGAAGAATAGACTCTCGAGGCTTGTTTTCATTTGTCTGTTATAAAAATTGCTTTCATTAGGTGGTGCATAAGTTCATTCTTTAAGCTTAACTAGTTCAACGCATAACAAAATAAGGAATTAACCTGTTCACATGACACTCGAGTACAAAAGCCAAGATAAAATCCTCTCACCTTAATCAAATTCAAAATAATAATAGGATTCCCATATCTCTCAACAAGATTTTCGAAATGAAGTTTCGTAGCTTCATAATTTTGGTCCCTCTTTGACACTGTAAAATAAACATCATTTTGTAAAGTATTTAGATGATTATTCAATCTTTAGACAGAAAAACAAGATAGTAGCTAGAACATACATATAATGTCAGGCTTAAGATTCAGGCGTGAAGTTTCCTGTGACCAGAATAGAGGAATTGAGCCACGATTTTGGACAACAGAACTTATTTGTGTAGGGAACCCTTCTGGAACATCCTCGAATATAATCTGCTCAGTTTCAACGTCATTTGCAACTCTTCCCTTATCGTTCACCCCTCGTTTCAGATATCTATATTTAAAGAAAAAAAAATTCAAGGTTCTAAAGTAGCAAAAGAGGAGGGAAACGGGGTGGAAGAAGTTCCCAGACTTTTCAAAAAAAAAAGGGCAAATGGCACCAAAAGGTAAATGCCATTACCACATAGCACAGCAAATTACAAAAGAAAACAATAACAATTACCCAATTGTTAACTGATATGCACGGTAAGATGACGAGAAATCAAAAGCTAGCACTGAACACTATAACTGCAAAAGCTAACTAAGACTCAAATCATGTAAGAAAAAAGATCCAAGGAAAAAGGTGTATTTTCTGGAACACGTCTTTGAGAGAAATAGGCTTTCTAAGTCCAAAATGTAGCTTTCATGGTTGATAGTGTTTTAGTTCATGTGAATTTACAACTCAATGGTAAACCATAATCACATTAAAATACCAGAATGAATGCTTAATATTCTCATTTAATGGAAGACCGAAAGGCAAGTGATCATGTCACTGCAGAATGTCAACCAGAAGTTACTTAGATCCAACCACAACAGATTTGCTTCTCAAACCTTAGCATATAAGCAGCCAATTTCATTCACTTAATCTCTTTAACGAAAACGAGAAACTTATTAACAGTGAAAAAGAATACACATGTAGAGACAATGTGTTCAGGCACGTAAGTGCAAGGAGAAGATAAGTACGAAACAAGACAATAAAAAAATAACTTCCTCTTACTACACACATCCGATGAAGCTAACCCAGTAACAGGAGTTTTGGCCCATAAAAGATGCCAAAAACACA